GGAACTATTTCCTCCAGGCATGTAAAAATACCCCTTACACCGGGCAAAACCTACAAACTGCTTTGAATAAGCAATATTGGTCTGTGAATTAAGTTTTCCCACTTGGAAGATTTCAAATAGAGGTGACCAAACTTGTGGGACAGAAGTTTTGTAAATCGGTCACGAAATAGAAACAAATTCAAAAATATTTCCTTAATATAACCAATGCGATAATTGCTATGCTACATATGTTCAGTGACTCTGACTTCACAGTGTTGAGGTATACGTGGCATTGTGTTTATATGTATGGATAGTGTACAAAGGGTACTGGGTGCTGTACACAAATGTAAGAAGACAAGTCCCTGTCTCCTAAGAGCTCAAAGTCTAATCAGGCATTTCCTCCAGGCTTTTTGACAATCCCCCACACTGAGCCAGACCTGGGAAGCAGGTACTTGTTCACTTTCCACCTTTAAGCATCGGAGTAAAACAAAACTAGCGCTTAGGGAACAGGAAAGCGCTCAGTGAAGCTTCCTATAGTAAATATTTACCAGCTTTTAGCTAGTCTCAGTTATTGCAGTGTGGGGGCGAGGGGGAGGGGGTATTGCACTGGAAACCTGGAGAATAAGCCAATCCTGTGAAGTTACCTTCTCTCCTCCTTTCCCTCCCCACTCCTCAAAATACAATAGTTCCCTTGATTATCTAGATTTTCGGGTTAACTTTCGAAGACGTTTAATTAACCCACAGCTAACTGCGACCTAAGGGTTTTCCAGCTTCAGCATGCCAGAGTCAGAAAGAAGAGGCAATTGTTTAGACGAGCAACACACTATTCTTTTAGAGGGGTCACTGATACATACCCAGCCGAGGGGAGAAATTGGAAATATCTTTTATTTCTCCATTGTGGCTCATCTTTCCACATGATGGAGCAAATAAGCCACTTTGCTGCTTCTCTGCAAAGTTCGGCAGGTCCCCTTCAAAGCGTTCAAGGTGCATAACACAAAACCCCCACCCCTGGGACATCCCTGCCTTCCAGTACATATTGACGCTGCTGTGTAAAAAGAGACAAAATGAAGCTCTCCTCTCGATTCAAAGGGTTAACCCTCGTGCGGTGGGTGAGGGTATAGGTACTGGTTGGGCGTTGCATTTATTTATTTATTTTTGACATTGCTGTCATGAAAAAAGCACAGCTGGTCCCGTGTCCAGGAGACACCTGCATTCGAAAAATCCGTGTATTCTGTAAATAAACAATAGTTCCCACTGATCTTTATTTCAATAAAGAACGTAACACCTGATATGATCCATACTCGACTTTGCCAGTTGCCTCTTTTAAATGATAACTCTGCAGCTTCATTCTCTTGAACAAAATTAAGACGCTGCCTTTGTCAGACAGAGGAGGATATACAACAAAGCGTTTGATCATTTACTGCCTAGGAAGGCATTTGTTTTTCATTTGGCAAACGCTTCCCTTTAAGTAATTGTTCTTGTTAACGGTGTATTCCTTTCCCTAGTCTTCACTGAGCTATAAATAATCTCGATGAAGATGCAAGGATATGACTTTCACAAGATTGGACAATTGATTAAATCTGTGACCTGCAATTGCAAATAATCTTGGAAGGCTATTTAAACAGATGAAGGCCTAAATTGTCTTGCTTGTATCTGAATTAATTTCTCATTCATCATCATTATGGAGTGATTGGTCTATTCAGGCTCTTCAGCCTGCTGGAACGAAGCTGGATTTAAATGACACAATTTAAATGCTCTCCAGCTTTAACGAGGCCAATTGAGCAGCTGCAATAAATACAAATATTTTTCTAAACAGCCTTGTTTTAAATAATTACTTAATGCTTTCGTGTTATTTTTAAGGGGTAATCTCTGTCTCTGACATCACAAATTCTTCTTTGCTGAGGTAGCAGTTGTGCAAACTATTTGGTGTACTTGTTTGTTCTGTGGATACAAATATGTGCCTGGCGATTGGTTTATTTAACACTTATCTTGTAAATGTTTAGTGTAAATATTCTACGTGTATGTAAATTCAGCTATGGCACAGTCATGCAGTTGAATTTGTTTTAAGGGGTTAAATAGACATAAAGTGACTGAAGCTAATATGAGATATTTTCTAGTAAACAAACCTATTGAATCAGACGGCACACGTTTGTATTTGAGATTGGCTTGGCTGTGTAAAGATCCTGAAATAGCCATCATTTAATCTCTCATCTTTCATTTAAAAAAGCCACCCGGATAAAAGCGATTTATTCTTGTATATGTCTTATGTCATAGTGTCGTCTTTAGATGTATCTGAAAGGTTTTCTATGGGTTTTTTTAAAGGTCTAGTTTAAGAATTTATCATCTCCACACATTTACTATGTATATTTGCTATGGCTGCATATGTCTAATTTAATTCTTGAGAGTGAATGACAATGATTTTGTTTGAAAATGACCTGGCCAAAAGGCTGAGTTATGTTGACAAATACGTGAGTTACTTGGGAAGGTGGGAGAAAAAGAGGGGGGAAATTGCCCCCTACATACGGTAATAACTGATACCTTACGAGCATATTAAGCCATTTTGGAATCGAGAATCCAACTCATCTTGACATAGTTTTAACTCTATTATGACACTATTGTGACTGGCATGATATTGGGTCTCGGCTTGACATATGGTGGCGGGTGTTTCCAGTGGCTAAACTCCGCAGTGAAATAATGCAACCAGCGGAGCAGGAGAATAATTGAAAACAAAAGAATCCTTCAGATATACAAACACAAGGAAAGAGCTAATGGGCCTCGGTGTCTTTCTGCAGGTGCTGGAAAGCGAGCTAACCATCTAGCAGAAAGCATGAAATATGAAGAGACTATTGCTTAATTATCTAAACACTGGAGCCGGGAATAGTGCTAGGGAAAGCAGATCCGATCCAGTTTAATCATGGAACCTTAACAGAAACGTACAGCCTTAGCAGGGAAGGTAAGAGCCAGTTTCGATGTTATCCGGGTAATGGTGCAGAGGGTGACACATAAAGCAAAACAAAGATGACCAGAGTGCCGATGAAAAGGGCTGAGAGAAGTGATAGTAACGGAGCAATTTAATGCACGAGTTACAAAACTGCTCGCTGGGATCATTTAGCCTTAACCCGCTCTCTACAGCTCATCTTCTTTTATTCAGTTGTTTAAAATGAGCATTATTCCAAACATATGCAACGCAATCAGTTTGGTCACACTTACAAGAACACGCTTTAATAAGGCAATCAATCAAACGGTAACAACACGGGGACTGCCTGGTGGAGCTGAATTTGGCTGGATGGAAACTGGAACCTTCTGCGTGGCACATGAGGTACCCGACGACAACTCTAGCTTGCTACTGACAAGTGGGACGATGCACACACGGTTTGCTACAGCTTTTTCCCATGCAGAATATGCAAAACACGGATTTCACAGAGGTTCAAAACGTTCTCTCCTGCATAAGTTGTTAACAGGAGGGTAGCTTTATTTGTCTGGCTAGACCTTCGCTGTCCAGGTACCCGGTCTGTTACCCATTTCCCCTTGTCTTTTCTCAGCATGCCCAAAAAGCCTTACCTCAGCTAGGGGCCTGATCTAAAGCCCATTTAAATCAATGGGAAAACTCCTTTTGATATAAATAGGCCCATAGAGAAGCTATATACTTTGTCTCCAATGACTTTCACCCCTTCCCCTTTCCCGCCCCGTCGGTTTTGAGAAGCTGTTCCCAAACTGCCGTCGGGGTTGGCTTAGAACGTGTTAAGAGAAATCACCCAACATAGCAAAAGGAAAATTTCATTATGAAGTAATGAGTAATTCCCCCAGCAAGATGTATTGTTATGTCTTCAGCTTCAATTTCGAAGCAGAAGTGGCTCAATTACCTAGCAAATACAGTCAATTAAAGGCTGCTGATTGGACACGAGGACGGATCATCGATCTTGTACTTTCCAATATCGCTCCAGACACCTCATTTTCCCTCCCTATTAACTGAAAATACGCCTGGCATTACTGCGACCCGAAGCCTATTTACCTGTCGCAGGCAATCTCTGCCCTATGACCGAGCAACAGAGAGATTCACAATCATCTTTGCAGGAGGATCCTCCAAGAAATCCCAGTGGGAAGACAATAACTCCCTGCGGGAGAGTTGTAGAGTGACTATGGTTTAGACTTGTGTGTGTGAGAGAGAGCGAGAGAGCCCATTTCATTTAGATTGCTGGGGAAGAAATGCACAGGCCGGCAATGCCCATCCCAGGCTCGTTGACTACACCTATCCACCGCTCACATACACATGGGGTTGCCTAAATAAATATGGAGATGTGGGATTTTTTTTATTTTTTATTTTTTTAAGTACGGCTGTGTTCTCAAGAGGAGCAATATGCCCGAGTGAACGCCACAGCCTGCTTCCATCCTGAGGCATGCAAGATTACAACGAAATCCTTGTGCAAGCGAATTTCCCATTGAAGTCAATGAATGATTTGCCACCAGGAAGTCTGCAGGATCCTAGCTAGCTTTGGGCAATTGAAAGTGGTCCTCTTCAGTGTTCTGTCCCTTGACCGCATCTGGCCATGGTTCATATATTCTGGTTGCTAGACTGTGCTATTATTCATTCGTTCGTATTTCACTGCACTGATGCTTTTAGTGAATGACATGCATGTTGAGAGAGGTAGGTAAAGCAAACCCCGCCCCAAACTTTTAAATCTTAATTCCTAGATTTGGTTTGGGGGTTTTAGTACATTCCTTTGCCACTATCTGAAATCGCAACCGTCCTATTATTCATAGAACTAAATACCATTCTAATAATACTTTGGCGTACACGAAAGGCCCATCAATTTTAATAAAAAAAGATTTCTGCTTTAAAATTGATGGAAAGGGTTGGTCCTTAATGATGAGCGTGGAGAATTCCCCCTCTCCCTTTTGGATCAGTTTTTCGGATAAGCAGTTTTTATTAAAATGAGAAATAGTTTGAGAGGCATTCGTATCTTTCTTACACTTGAGCAGACGACTACAGAAATATGTTTTTCGCCCCATTGTCCCGAGGACAAAAAGTCTTAAATGCGACAATAAACTAAACAGACGTTCCTCAGCAATTTAGCGCAAAGTAGATAACATAGGTGTTAAAATGTCTTTGTTTCCGTTCAACATTAATTTTCCTGATTGTTGAACTGTAAATATAAGGAACTGCAAGAAAAAGAAACGGTAGAAAGCAGTATTCTTAGGGTTTTTTTTTAAAACAAACACAATAAAAATATTTGTGATGCGGTCTTAAAATTTGTCTAGCTCTTTATTGCGACATGGTAACATATAGTAACAGTGAATTCTTTGGGCTATTTAAAAAGAGAATTCATTAAACAATTTCTGTCTTGAAAGAAACTATTAGCCCAGTCCAATATTTGTGTTTTTAGAATTTCAGGTTGACAGCTGCACCCCATTCAGACAACAATCCAAGCAAAACCACGAATACTATCTTCCACTGTAACATACAAGAAGCAAAGGGAAGAAAAAATAAATTAATCTCAAGGCGGAGGAAAGACTTTACACACAAATGGTGTGAAAGTCACATACAAATGCAGAGGTTGGGGAAGGAGGGGGGACGAGGGGAAACTAACCAAAAAAAAAAAAACACCCCAGCACTCGAATCTAAAACCCAAATGCAGCAAAGGAAAAGAAAAGGAATAAGCCAATGGGAGACCTGAAGGTGAAATACAAAGGAAGGAAAATCGCCTTTGCTCTAATTTGCAGACTAGTGATTGTCTGAAGGAGTTCAGCTCCCTGTCACCTAATCTCTTCCCTTGGCGGCTTGTTAACGTTTGGCATAGGGTCTCTGTTCAGAGAACATTATACATTCGACATTCAAAAAGCCTCCTTACATATACATCACTTGCTAATTTCGTCAGTGTGTGCACATTTCAGCAACTGATAATAGGACATTGTTAGTTAAAGGACAAATAGCTCTGACCCACAAACTGACAGGATCTTTTTTTTTTCTGCCAGTTTCCGTCTGTCTCTTAGAAATAAAAGTTGGGAGGAAGGAGGAGACGAAATATTGGATTTCTGCTAAAAAACGAAGGGTTTATATTACTGAGACAGGGAAAGAGGTAAAGAATGCAATTAAACCAAGAAAGTAATGTACAATATGTCACTGTACTTTATGGCAAAAACAGTTTTCTTGATTCTAGAAATAACTGGATAATACTGTTGAGTTGCTATCTCGAAACCCTTTTAGTTGGTTGTTGAACAATCTGGTAAAGCATAAATCTTGACTTTGTATTATGCACACAAGACATTTTATTATCAGCAATTTTTCTTTCAAGTATTTCAGATTTTACTTTTCAGTCATATATAATTGGGCATAAAGATTTTGCTGTGGTTTGGAGAAGTTCTGCCCCTTGGTAGGTTATCTGGCCATAGAAAATAAAGTCCTAGTTCATTTCTATGGTATATTGTAGAAAGTAGTGTATATCAGTTTTTGCCTTCATAGTGCAGAAGCCTAAATTCCTCCTTAAGCAAACACATCACTAGTGGTTCCCCCCCTCCCTTCTTCTTCTTTCCTGTTTTATCTTGGAATGTAAATCCTTCAAAGACTGAGCTATTTTTAGTCTTTTCCCCCATAGGTGTCCACTTATGGGAGAGAACACGATTAAATAAACGTTGTATGTAAGTACTTTAACCTTATGTGAGCCCATGAAAGGGGCATATGATTTATAAACCTGAGATGCAGCTTTATCTTGTTAAAGGTACTTCTTCCCGCTGGTCCATGGATACTGAGGTTGCTTTGCTCAGCACCGAGGGTGTGAAAGTGAGAAAAGAGTCAGTCCTGGTTGTGGCTGAACAGGTAAAGTCTGATCCTGAAGGTCTCTGTGCCAGTCCATTGGACTGGCTGCTGTGGCAAGCCAAGCATGAACAAGGGCTGCCTCCAGCACTACTGAGTCCATGAGTTGGGGCAGGGTAAAGAGAAGGATGCCTGAATGCACAGAGCAGTTCTGGTCTAGGGTAAGGATGAGAGAGGACCCTAAAGGTGTCAAGTGGTCTCAGAGGGGTACTGAAAGGGGTGGCAGCAGAGGCCGAGGTGGCACCAATGCCCATGTGGGAGTAGTAAGGAAGGGGCAGGTGGGATGGGAAGGGGTAGGGAAGATTGCCAGTTGCCGCTGCATGACTCATCATGTACGTGTAAAAAGCCGGATCTGCTGGGTGAGGCCAGGTCATGGCCAAACGCTGCCTCTTGTCCTTCATCCTGCGGTTCTGGAACCAGACCTGGGAGAGACAGAGGAAAGAGAGAACGCTCTTAAAACCTGCACACGGTCGGGCAGGCAGAAAGGCCATGCCGGAAGATGCATTTTGGACACAACTGTGTGCTCCGTCTGTTCTCGCCTCAGACTGCGAGACACACACACACCAAAGTCCCGGCTGGTACATTCGTTTCCCACAGTGAAAAGATTGGGTGCGGAGGTTGGTTTGTTGGCGAACGAGAGCTAACCCACTATTTTAACTATATAGGTTAAACTGGCAAAATAAAAATATATCGTTCAAATAATGAGCTGTCATCAAGTAAAAGCTACAATTTGTCCATGTAAAAGTTGCTATAAATCTAGAGGGAGATCCAAAGTGGTGGCCTTTTTGTAGACACTTTTTTCTTCCTGGCTTCAGAATTGCTCTCCTACTGTGCTTGCTGTGGAGTTCCACATACGCCAAACAAGTGTATCTACTGCCTAGAAGCACTGCATCCTTCACAGCATCTTGTGAACTCCCCTGGGGCATTTGCTGTTCGGTTTGTGTTTTATTTCACGTGGCAAACGGTTGAAACGTTTATGTTAAATGCTCATTATTTAAAATTTCCCAGAGTGTAAAGGGAACGAATTCTTAAAATCAGGGGAAAAGAAGAGTAAAAACACTTAGAGGCTGGCTGTCAGAAGCCGCGCTTGCCTGATCGCTGATAACTTGTCTTAAAAGCTACCGAGCGCTGCTTTTTGTGCAGAAGGTAGCAGGGCGCAGCCGGGAAATGTTTGTTCTACTGAAAGCGCTTCCCAGCGTTTTGCAAGGAAGCCCGGCCGTTTAGATTTATATCGTGCTAATTGAAAACATGCCCAAGCGGTGTGTACCTTGATGGTGGTTTCTGGCAGATTTAAAGCAGCTGCCAGTTCACATCTTCTGGGCCTGGACACGTAGTTCTCCCGGTAGAATTCCTTCTCCAGCCGGGCTATCTGCTCGCGGGTGAAGGCGGTACGGTAGCGGCGCATCTGATCGCTGGCGTTGCAGGCCAGCGAACCCTGGGAGCCGCCGCTGCCTCCGCTGCCCTTGGGGAGCTCCCCCCCGCTGCTGGGACTGCCACCGGCCAAAGCCTCCGAGCACGGCCCTGCACAGTGGAGGAGCCGAGAGCAGAGACACACGCTTGATACATAGACCGGGGGGGGGGGGTCGCCCCCCGCCCGCTTCCCCATCGATCCCCTGCTCCCGCTGCTGTTGCCCCCCTTCCTCCTCCCTCCAACACAGGACAGTATCCACAGCATCCTCAGTTCACAGGCGCAGCCCTGCGGATGCTGGGGGCACTGATCCCCAGCTGCCTGGGCACATAGGGCGAAGGGAGTGGGGCATTTACTTGGTGTTTACTTTCTGGAAGTAAGGAAGTGTGATCTCTCCAGCCCCCTCCTCGGATCCTACACGGGGTTCTTACTGGTTGCGGTGCTTCCTTTCCGCATTGTGTGCGGTAGGAGCTGAGCTCCTCAGCACCCAGTTTAAATATCAAGCTATGGCACCCCCCCCCTCCCCCAATTGCGTGTTTTCTTTTTGTGGGTGTCCGTTCCCACCCCAGTCATCGGCACCGTACAGTGCAATAGCCATAGCCAGCATCCCCGGCAGCAAACCAATGGCAAATGGCCTGGACGGAGACATGGCAGCAGGCAGAGCTCCTTCCTTACCCGGGGTGAGGGTGGAGATTTTGGGGACCCTTCCCTCAGAGTTAATATCCCCTCATGTTAAGTTTAAATAAAGCTCCTGGGCAAACTGAAGGGGAAACGACCGTCTTCTGTGCCCAGTCTCCCAACTTCTAGGGACAGAAAAGAAAAGGAGCTGATTTGTTTTTCTTGTGGGGTGGAAGGAGGGGAGAAGGGGGTGGGGTAGCAGAAGAAAAAGGCCTGGACGCTGCATTTGCTTTCAAATGCAGCCAGTTCTCATTGTGCCTGAGACCAAAGGCAATTAAATCATTGGGACCATTTCCGAGCTGGCGCCACCGGGACATGGAAGTGACAAGGTAATTTGGACCTTTAACCAACGTGCAAACAGGGACCTACTGCTGCAGCTTTGGCAGCCAGGAGTCTGCAGCGATTTTACGGTCTTTATGGCTGCTTCCGTGCTCATCCAAACACATTTCACCCTGCTCTCTGCCCGCAGTTACACAAATCGTTTGATCTTGCAAAGCCCAGGGAAGGTTGCTTTCAACCCTTGAAAAACGCACACAAAACGTTGGGGGGAGGGCGAAGGGAAAGAGGGGCTTCCTAGTGCATGCACTATGGAGGAAAAGGCTCGCAGACTGGGTGTGAATTAGAATAAAGTCTTGCTGCAGGAAAACTTGCAAAGGCAACGATATGTTTAAGTGAGGATGCGATTTCACTCACTCTGTTAAGTCATCAGGACTCTTCAGAGCCATATGCGCCTCTGGGTGCCTAACAGCCACATCTGCAAACCCTACTGTTCCATGCAGAACAAATGCACAAAAAGGAAACGAATTCGGGTACAAAACACCCCTACTCCTGGCCGGTCACTAAAACAAACTGAAGCCTAACAGATATTCCAGGCTCAAGGACACTAGTCACCCAGCTTGGCCGGCGCCCGAGCGCGGGGAAGGGAAGGGGGAAGCAAAGGGGAGTGGTGGGTACCTTTGCTGGGCTGGTACTCGGCGTTTCCCGTGGCGCAGTCCGGGGTGCAGCTCACCTCGATTTCCTCATAGAAATCCGACTCGGTGTCCGAGCTGCTCTGTTGCCCTTTGCTAGAGATGGGCTCCGAGGCGAGCTGCTGTCCGGCCGAGAGCAGAGCTGCTGCCGCCGCCGAGCGACTCTCCGGGACCGTCCCTGTCCCTGGCAGCACTTCCACCTCCTCCTCTCCTCGTCCCCTTTCTCGGGAGGATAAGGGGCCAGATCTCGGGCTCAGGCAACTCCGATGGATCATCTTGTCCTGCGGTTCTTGGACTGGGCTTCCCACTGCTTCTGACAAATTAGAGACTCTCTTGCCAACAAGAGTGCCAAGTTGACCTCCTTCCAGAAACATCACCATATCCTTTCTGGGTTCCATTGTGGTTTTCTTCCCCCCCAAAAATCCACGTTCCCCTCCCCCCCACCCCCCCCGCGCCTCCCGCCCCAATCCTGCGCAACGCACAGCCCAGTGCAGCGGAGCCCGCGGTGAGATAGGGTGACCTTGTGATGCGAACGCTACACTGTGCTGTGCCGGCTCTGGGAGGGATCACCATTGCCCTCTTCTTTCTAAGCTGTCATCCTTAATGGTGCAATCGTCATTACAGTACCACCGGTGACGCCACACATTGATTGCTGGGGGATAAATAGAAACGTCTGCCACTGCAGAGATGAAAGGAAGAGCCGGAGCTAATGGCTAGTGGTGATGCACCAGGTGTAAGGGCTTGGGATGCGGAGGGAAGTGTGAAAAAGAGATGCATATGGAATTCAGCTGCAAAGAGACTGTAACATGCGGAAAGAGTTCCTCAGGGGGAAGCCTTGATAATGAAGTAACCTTTTGATTTTTCTTTTTTTTGAACCAGAACCCTGATCTAAAACTCACCAGAAGATCCATAGCTACATTGTAGAAGTGTGAAGATACATTCTCAAGCCTCTTCCTTCGATGCATTATGTAGTGCTTACAGCCAGCTTCCTTGTCACCGCACATATGAGGTTTTAAGAATCCTTTGCAAAATCGAGGATGAGGAAACCTTTTTATTAATACTTTAGTGTATAGGTAGCCTTGGTCACTTGTTCCGTTTCAACATTTCTCCTTTGACAGCGTTTGCTTTGTGATTTTCATTGTTATCAAAAGGGTGTGTTAAATGCTAGAATTGGCGCTAATATAATTACTGCAGTTTTAAACTTCAAATACCATTATTGATGCGGTTTTCGTAATTGTAGATGTCCTAGATGTTTAGCACTTACCATTTGAATCTGCTTATTTCTTCTTCCACAGTTTCCATTTGCGAGATGATTTTTCTGCGGTTGGGTGGTTCCCCCCTTTATAATAAAATATTTTGCATACGATTCTATTTTTCGCAAGAAGGGAAAACGGCTACAAAAAATAGTTGACAAGACGAGAAGCAGGTTTAACAAAATAGAAGTTATCAAATCCAGTCCTTATACAAAGTAACAGATGCTGTGAAATATAAATGGCAGGGGGCACCATTTATACAGTACTGATCAAAAATAAGGAACCCTATATAAAGATAGTGTATATCTGCATACAAGCAGTAGCATATGGAGTCTCTTAAGTGTATTTTTATATTTACAACGAGCAGGGGAAGCAGCTAATCTATTTTAAAAAATATTTACTTAGACGTGTAGTGTAAAGTAATTTTCACCATCTGTTGTAACTAGCTTGTCCTGTCTTTTCAAAATGTTATTGGTTAGTCATGTTACAGAAAATGTTCACCCAATTACCTTTCCAATCTGGTAGGGAATTTACTGGCATATTTGAGGTGAGGTTGTTTTGATAGGAGAATAGGAAACATAAGGAAAGAAGCATTTTATATTTATTTACAGCCCTGTGAAGAAGGTTTATGATGATGATAGGGAAAAGAAACCAGGATTTACAATATTATCAGTATATAGATTAAAAATCTGTTCCACGTATAGGGATAATCATACTACTTTCTGGCAAATCAAATATTTTGATGAGGAGACAGTGACAAAACCACCCTCCGTGGTCTTAAATACTAAAATAATTTACGAAATGCACTAAATATGCCTCCAGATGAATGCGCGCACAAATTTGTAGCATGCAATTTTGATAATCTCCTGAAATGGTGAAAACTGAACACTAAATTTGTATTCTGTTCTCTTCCTTGCAAGTTTAGACAGCGTCTGGACCTGCACCCCTCCTAATGCTGGAAGAGGAATCAAATTGCAAGATTGGGCACCGGTGGGAAGTAAAATACTTTCTTCTCCGGAAGCTCCAGCAATGTGACGCGCACCCCCGGTATAATAGTGGTTGGACTGTTTTTAATGTTATCATTTTTAACCGTTGGCAGAGGGGGTACCATCTGGAGAGTGAGGGGAGGGGATTCGCAGCTGGGGAGCTGCACTCCAGTTCAACAGAGTTTGAGACTGAAGTTTATGAAAAATCAAGTCCCTTCGCTAATATAAAGTAACCAATGGGTAATGAGGGGAAAAACGCCCCAAACGATGAGACGGACAAAACTCCAGTTTGTCTTGTTCAATGCCAAATGTATGCAAGCTACTGTCGCCGGGGTGGAGGGGGGAGTCTTGAAGGTAAGATACAGCATTAAAGTGTCTTGAACAAGCTGAAGTACTTAATCGGCTAAACTAGTCAGTACTGTGGGGGTACAAATCTGCTCAGATTCTGAGGGAAGGGTTGAGAAGCCCTTGGAAATAGGAAGGGCTCCATTGACAGCTGTCTTTGCCTTAGTTGGTACTTTAGGGAATGCTTCCCGATCGCGTGAAGAAAATTACCACTGGGCTGCTTGGAAAATAACCCTTCTGAGAGAAATGTACATTGGGACTGCACTGTGTAACGGTTTACTGTGTCCCATTCGTCAAATGATTTTAATGAGGTCTGTTCTCCGACCCTTATACACATATAATTTTAGAATACATTTATTTATCTGTCTCCCCTTCTGAGTACCCCACTCCTGTCTCTCACTACCCCAGAAATCGCATCCTTCATGTGGATTGGTTTAGAGAGTTTGCCAATGCGTTATGCTGTCTGAATACCGCGGAAGATCAAACGTGGACCAAACCAATACTGAGCCGGACTCACACAGCATCAAAAATATCCCTATTTGCTCTCACAAATTTAAAGGGATAAAGGGCCTGAATCTGTCTCTGTTCACATCGAAGGAAGTTTTGCCAGTGATTTAAATGGGAGCAGGATAGGGCCTTAAATAGGTCCTCTTTAGCTTCTAAACCCTGGTTGGATCGCCACAATGGATAATCCCTTTTAGGTCAACAATTCTGTGGTAGAACAGATCTCTGAAATTAACTCCCACCTGCTCCATTCTCACTTCTTTGCAAAACCCAACCTCCCACTGAAATGAATGGGAGATACGAGTGCGCAAGGAATAAATGCAGGACTCGGCTGGCTGTAGTCTGTCTAATGTTTACCACAGATCTGTCAAGACTCATTTGGAGGGACACTCCCTCATTTGAGATGAATTTTCAAGCAGTTTGGAAAGCATATCTCCCACGGTTTTGCTGCGTGTTTCTATGAGACATTTAAACCCTAACGTTTTATTCTTAAATCTCCCTCATACAGATGGTCACAGTCATGATGTAGTACTCACTTAAATTCAAAACGTTTAAAATCGATTCATTCCATCGTGTTTATAGCTTTCCTTGCTGATATATGGCTGAAGAGAGAGACCAAAGGGATGGCATTCAAAGGGTAATATGTCAACTCAACGTTTACCAATTCTAAAAAGCAAACGAAATGAACGGGATTCTTGTATGTTCACGAATAAGACCTGTAAATAGTAATGGAAAATTTATACGTTACTGCTAATGACACATATAAAACAGAAGATTCCCTTCGGACTAATCTGCTTGGGAAAGAATGTTTGATTAATCCACTTCCCACGAGCCAATATGGTGTCAAAATAACCTTTTAGTGATATTGTCTAATTTTTATTGTCATCTGAATCTATGATGATTTTTGGATTTCTCCAAATTATCCCTCCGCCTTGCCTCCTTTTAAAAAATGTTTTAAAACACATCTCTAAATTAGTAATCACTGAAGAAACTTATACCTAACTCAAGTGAATTAGCAAAACAGAAAGCCTATTTTTAAAATGTTAATGGGTGGTGTTAACAATAATGGTGTAATTATCACTGTTTTATTAAGGCTATTTTTTATGACACTGTTAGAGGTGAAAGCTTTGGAGAGAAGGAAATAGGGGCTTTATTCTTTAACTCTTAGGGTGTAAAGACAAGATGATACAATAAAAGCAAATAACATACAGGTGGGAATAAGGATAAGAGCATATAAGTGGTATGTGTGTATATGGGCATATGTATGTTCTGTGTTCTGCTTAGCAAGCAGAAAACGAATCCCACCATGTATATGGAAGGCTTATTCCTTTGTTCCTCATTTTTACCTGTTGGATACCGGAAGCAGTGCTTCCCTGACACTTCAGAAGGCAACTGAAGAAGTCTTACCTGTTTGCTCGAGCAATAATAAGGTAGGGCCCGATCCTGCTCCCATTAAACTCAGTGGGAGTTCCGCCATTTACTTCCAATGGAGCTGGATCGGGGCCATTACTTACTCGAGTGAGTGAAGTGTACAGGATTTTACCCTTAAAATATCATTTCTCCTGTCGTATTTAAACACGTAAAACTTCAGTATCTTTTTATGTGGAAATAGGTGGTAAAACTAGACACGCACCCTAAACTAACAGATTTGAAGGTATTTATCCTGCTAAGCTGATTCATTACAGGGACAGATACCACGCGCTAGATTTTTTTTTTGACTCGACAAATATTGATTCAGAAGCCCGAGTTCCTAGGCTTTGTTCTCATTCTTTTCAAGCTTATACAGAAAGTCGAACTGGAAAACTAACAACACTTTTGTGCATATTTCAATGGTTTTTGTGGCAACTGATTATACTTATTTAACAGGCGCTCTTACCCGTGTATCTTTGTAAAACCGCTACAGAAAGTACTTGTGGTGGATGTATTTATTCACCTGAATTTCTCAAACAAATGGAAACTGGTATTCAAAGGGGTTTAATGGTGTGTCAGTACCTAATTATTAAAGTTGACTGAATGAGAATTCTTTAAGGCAAATGTAATCCTACTAATAATAGAAATATTTAATAATGAGATTAACAAATAGCTTATCATCGTTTTGGGCTTACTATTTTAGTTTAAAAGTTTCAACAGTGACTATTGGTTTGATTAAATTCTCGTGCAGAGGTTAAGTGTGGTCTTTTCTCTTTGAATTTTTCCCCTTGAAGAATAAAACGACTGGAATTAATTTGGAAGGAAAAATAGTTCCAGATATGTTTCACGATTCAATTTTATGAAAGTCAGTGTCATGTTTTATTAAAACAAAATGACTGTTCTCAAAATGTGGCGATGAGCATCTAAGTGTAGCATTTTTCTGTTCAGTAAAATGCGGTGAATCATGTAATTAACTGACCTAGAGACTTTTATGTCCATAGAGTATATTTCATTCTACGCGGACAATGCACAACAAAATAAATAGCTTCCATACATTTACATGCTGATCGTATCAGATGTGCATACATATTAATTCACATAAAGTCTACACGGCGCCATATTTTGCGAACGAATGGCCCCCTGCTCTTTCCAGGGATGAAATGACTGGAATAAAAAGCGTTTGACACCAGGCACATGCACTGAAGTGAGCTGTAGCTCACGAAAGCTTATGCTCAAATAAATTGGTTAGTCTCTAAGGTGCCACAAGTACTCCTTTTCTTTTTGTAAAATAATTATATATGGATTAGGTTTGTAGCAGCATCCTTTTAAGTTCTTTCGAGTCTCTAGTTTCACGTATCTAATTACGCTTGTCAGGCATGATCCCGCTCTTCTTGGGTCAGATTCTGATACTCATGTTGGGTAGTGTCTTATTATACAAATGGTCTTATTGAAGTTAGTGGGACGAGTTGTTGAGCAAAACATGGTTCAGCATGAGGGTATCAGAATTTGGCCCACTGAACTCAATGTGAATTTTTCATTGACTTCAGTAGCACCAAATCGGCCCCTTTGTCCCCAACACCTGCTATGAGATTTTTGGGCTTGATCCTTCATTCTTTATTCACTTGAATAAGCCCCAGTGAAGATTGCTATTTAAGTCATTGAGTAAGGAATACAGGCTGAGGCAATTCTGCCCTAGGTCCTGCAGGGAGACTTGGTCAAATGCTTCACGCCAGCACATCTGAACCCAGGATAGATAAGCAGCCCCCGCTGGAGGCCCCAATCAGACTACACAATCCTGCTGTTTGTTTCAGTGAAAGGGAGTTTAAGCCTCTGATTTGAAAAGGAGCAGGCTCGGACGCAGTATACACACCCTCCTGTAGGCTTTGGGGAAATTGTTATCCCAGTTATGCGCAAAAAAGGGGCTCTGTGGTGTTACCACGCAAAATGTGATTAAAAACCTTCTATCATTAAAGGAATCCCGAAGACAATTTCCAATTATGCAATACAGGTTAGTGTATCCTAGAAAGAGAGAGACTTGTCCCAAAGTGATCCTTGTTAATATACTTCTCTCTTCTACCCCTGTCAGATATGCACTCCTCTCCCCAACTCCCAAAAGAGGGGGACAAAAACTCACACAGGAAATTCAGGCACACATGTTTAAGGGGATCAGTTTGGACTCTAGGGCTAATGTCCCCAATATCAAGTAATTGTAATAACATGATCATATTTCTGCATTCACATATAACAGTCCCAGCGACATTGTTGCATAGGTTTTATTCAGTCTAATTATTTTGGCTACAGGTGTTTGAGGCATTCCTGCCACCTGATCCCTTTGCATAGCTCACATCAATAAGGAGAAAAGGTAAACATAGGCTATACAGCTATAACATTTCTGGAAAAGTATGAGGCCTTTTATGCTTGACTAACAACCTTCAATACTGGCTAATGGTAAGGAGATGCTAATGCCAAATTAACCATCAGCCATTTGCACTTCTGCAAAGTTGGGTGTAAAAGGCTGCCAGAGCAAAATTCGACAAGAATCTGGGACAGGTGCAGGACAGAGGAGAATCAGGCCATGAGCCTGGTTATAAAAAGGAGACTAATAGTAAAATTAAGCTGAGCACATGTGGCTTTTTTTGGGGGGGGGGGGGACTCCTTCCTTCCCCAAAGCTCATATCTAGAGATGTTAGGCTGTAGTATCTAAAGAGCGTAAGACTAAGGACCTTATCCTGGAGTCCCCAATGAGCAAACAACAAATCGCCAGTTAACTCTTATGACAGAAAATATGCTTCTGCAAGAGCACATTGTGTTCAGCATGGATGGCGAAATCATCTGGTTGCACTCTGAGATTAAGAATAAAGTACAGATACCAATGAAAAGAACGCAATTGTACCAAGGCAGTGTGAATTGTCTCAAGAATACAAATCTGTGGGTTAATAAAGGGCCAGATCATTCAGACTGCCCAATTTTTAATCAGGGAAACAACCCATCGACTTGACTGAGAGAGGACTGCTATATTTGGCCCTATACATGTTGTTTCTTAATTTGAAATGGTCTCAATATTTATTTACTTAGAGATTCCCATAGGCCATAGACCTTCCCCAAAATAATTCCTAGCACATATTGTTTAGAGAAACACCCAAACTTGTTTTTAAAATTGTCATTGGTGGAGAACAACACAATTTGTTGTATTCCCCTTTTTATTTTTTTTATTCCATTTCCCAGGCCTTTAAATAGTGAGATGGACAAAGGAGCCAGAGGGAGAGCATAAAGTGTCATACAATAGATATTCATTTTGTTAGCCAACCTGAGCTAACTCTTTGGATCATATGTAATAGAGATGCAGAATTTCAATCTTAAAGGTGACTGCATTTCTTCCCTACCTGTCCATAATCATTCTTTAGTTAGTTAAAGGCTGAGAGGCTCAGGGGAAAGACACTTGTAAGCCTCTGATATTTACTCGTACTCTTATAAATGCTTAAAATCAATATTGTTTATTAGAGAGGACGTCCGTAGTGCAGAGATAAGAGAAGAGAAAAAACTGAGAGAATTTACCTCATTCAAAAGAGGAAGTCTTAATAAGAGCTTTCCATTCAGTTTATAGTAGTCATCTAAATATACCGCTGTATAGCAATTTCACATGTTCTTCCTACATCAGGGCCTGCCCCCATATTCCTTGATATCAGTGGGAGTTTTGGCTGAGCAAGGACTTCATCTCGGGCCCTTCATAGTGTAAAAATGAGTCGAACTTACCCATATTTTACTCAGCTTCAGCAAATAAATTGGGGGCAAAAGAGATGTACAGATAAAGTAAAGCTCCGCTTATGTTTGTCTACCATGCTCAGCAAAACATTGTTTTTCTACCTCATTATTCAACTCATCACGCCAACTCGC